GTGTGTCCCCGTGTCACCTGTGTCACCCTGTTCCCCCCTTTGCCCCCCGTGTCCCCCATGTCTCCCCTTTCCTCCGTGTCCCCCGTTCCCCTCCGTGGTCCCCTGTGCCCCCATGTCCTCCCTTGTCCCCCTTTCCCCCCCTCCCCCCTGTGCCCCCCAGGTTCACGCTGTGCCACCGCACCGAGGTTGTTCGGAGCTCTCTCAATCCCGTGTGGGCGGCGTTCGCCATCCCCGTGCGGGCCCTGTGCGGGGGGGACCCGGAACGGTGAGGGGACCCCAAACCTAAACACCCCCCCGGGACCCCCAAACACCCCCCAGGGTACCCTGACAACCTCCAAAACTCTGCAAGGGGGACCCGCACCAGTGAGGGGGCACCTCAGATCCCCCCCAGAACCTCTAAACACCCCCTGGGACCCCCAAACCCCCAAAACTCTGCAGCAGGGACCCACACCAGTGGGGGGGACCCCAAATCCCCCCCGGGGTACTCTGAGAACCCCCAAAACTTCAAGGGGGACCAGCACCAGTGAGGGGGCACTCCAAACCCCAAACCTGCTCTCTGAGCTACCCCTGGACCCCCAAACTCCAAACCCCCTCCTTGTGGTACCCTGAGAATCCCAAACCCCCTCCCTGGGGTACCCTGGGACCCCCAAAATTCCAAACCCCTTCTCGGGGGTACCCCGGAACCCCCACACCCCAAACCCCCTCCCTGTTGGGAATCCCTCTTACTCCCCTCCCTGGGGTCCCCTGGGTGACATCAACACCCCCAACCCCCCAAACCCCCGATGTCCCCTCGGTGCCCCCCCGGCTTTCCCCCTGGGCACGGGGCTCGGCCCTGGCCCTGTCCCACCCCTGGGGTGTCCCTGAGCCATCCCTGGGGGGGTGTCCCTGTCCCTGTCCCACCCCTGGCAGTGTCCCTGGCCCTGAGGGATCCCGGGGGTGTCCCTGTCCCATCCCTGGGGTGTCCCTATCCCTGAGCACTCGGGGGGTTGTCCCCCCCCAGCCGCTGTGCTGGCACACCGCTCCTCACGCTGGTTTTTGGGATCCGTGTCGGCCGTTTCTATGGCAACGAGAGATAAAAATACCCCGGGAGGAGGAGGAGGAGGAGGAGGAAGGAGGAAAAACCCGCGGAGGCGTCAAAACAAATCCCGGGGGGAGCGGAGGGGGGGATGGGCCCCGGGGGGGTTTGGGGGGAGGTTGGAGGCGTCGGGGGGGGATGATGACCCCCCCACACACCTTGCAGGGCCATCAAGGTGGAGGTGTACGACTGGGACCGGGACGGCAGGTGAGGGGGGGGCCTGGCGACCCCCCGGGTGATGGGGACCCCCCCAGTAATGGGGACACCCTGGTCCTGCACCCCCCACTGGTTATGGGAACCACACTGGGGATGGGACCCCCCGGGGATGGGACCCTCTCAGGTGATGGAGACTCCCCCATTAATAGGGACCCTCCCAGGTGATGAGGACCCCCCTTGGCTGATGAGGACCCCCCTGGGTGTAAATGGGGACCCCTCCTGGCTGATGGGGACCCCCCCTGGGTGACGGGGAGCCACTGGCCCCGCCCCCCCCGGGTGATGGGGACCCCCCCAGTAATGGGGACCCTCCCCGGGTGATGGAGAACCCCCGGCCCCGCACCCCCTGGCTGATGGGGACCCCCTGGGTTGACGGGAAATCCACCAGTAATGGGCCACCCCCCAATCCCCCCCCCCCCCCCCGGGTGACAGGGACCCTCTGAGTGATGGAGAGTGTCCCTCGGGCGATGGGGACCCCCCGAGTAATGGGGACCCCCCCAGGCGATGGGGATCCCCCGGGCAGTGGGGAGCCCCGGGTGCCAGGCACCACCCCCGCGATGGGAACCCCCCAGGTGCTGGGACCCCCCGGGTGACGGGGGTTCCCCTGTCCCACCCCCGGGGTGATCGCGACCCCCCCACACTGACGGGGACCCCCTGGCCCGGCCCTCCCCGGTGTTTGGGGTTCCCCCGGCTGATGGAGCACCCCCGGGATTCTGCCCCCCCCCCGGGTGAGGGGCACCGCCCTGTGTGCTGGGGATCCCCCCTGTCCTGGCGCCCCCCCGGGTGCTGGGGACCCCCCGCGAGATGGGGACCCCCGCGGCCCTGCCCCCTCTGGATGGCAGGACCCCTCCTGGTGCTGGGGAGCCCCCCCGGGTTCCCCCTCGCTGACGATCCCCCCGTCCCGCAGCCACGACTTCATCGGGGAGTTCCGCACGAGCCTGCGGGAGCTGGCGCGGGGCCGGAGCCCCCCCAACATCTACGAGGTGAGAGGGGATCCCCAGGGGTGTCACTGTCCCCCCACCGCCCCCGGGGTGTCACACCCCCCCAGGGTCCCCCTCTGCCCCCCCAGGGGTGTCACACCCCCCCGCACTGTCCCCCAGGGGCTTCTGTGTCCCCCGAGGTGTGACACCCCCTCAGGGTGCCCCGTCCCGTCCCGCAGGGTATCCTGTGCCCACCCCATCCCTCAGGGTGTGACACCCCCTCAGGTTGCCCCCCCTGCTGCCCCCGAGGTGTGACACCCCCCCACGCTGCCCCCGGGGTGTCCCGTGCCCCCTCCATCCCCCGGGATGTGACCCCTCCCCAGGGTCCCCCCCCGCGCCGCGGGGTCCCCGGAGTGGGTGGTCGCAGCCCCCCCGTGTCCCCCCCAGGTCGTGAACCCCCGCAAGAAGCTGAAGAAGAAAAAATACCTGAACTCGGGCACGGTGGGCATGGGGGGATCGGGGGGGTTGGGAGGGATCGGGGGGATCGGGGGGCTTGGGAGGGATCGGGGGGA